ACTTCACGTTGTTTCTCATCGTTCAGCGCTCACCACGCATCTTTCATCCACTATGGATCCCGGTGAGTGCTCCCTTGGTGCCCTCGTGTGATTTATCTCGGACTTCATGCTGTTTTACAACGTTCAGCTCTCACCTCGCCCGGCAAGGGCTGCAGACGCGTCGTTCATCCACCTAGTGGATCCCTGGTGAGTTGCTCCCCCCCTTGCAGTCTCTTTCGGACTCCGTGTGTGCGATTCTGGACTACGTTATGGACTTATCAGCACTTACTCCGCCCGGAAAGGGTTAAAGGCGCCTACTCATCCTTTGTGGATCCCTCGGTAAGTGCTCCCTGCTCTTTTTGCAACTCTTGCAATCATGGGGACGTCTCTATCAGCACCACAGAAAAAGTTTTCTGAAGACCTTAAATCTCTTTTGGCCAGCAACAGCCTTCTCGTCTCAGATGCTGACCTTCAGTCTCAACAGCAAAGTTTGCCTCCAGCCAATCTCCTTTTGGCTGCCGCATCTGTTCCTTTGCCTGCCGACTTTCCCTTGATATATCCAGCATTGCCTCCTTCTGCTGTATATGCACCACCAAAGGCTCCTGTCCTCCTTCCCCTGCATTCTCCGCATTCTTCGCTTCCTGCGCCTCCCGTTACTACTCCTCTCCAAGAATCTTCGCATTCAGCACCCCCCGCTCTTCCACCTCCTCCGCCCAAGGCATCTGGCACCGCTCCTACCATTCCGCTTCAAAAATCTCTCCGTGCCGCCGCTCCGTTGTTGCCTTTTGATTCTGATACTCCAAATCACTTTCCTGTGATTGCTCCTGCACCCCCAGCCCCCGTCATGCTGACCCAAACCAATGTTCTCGATGGGCTGACGGGAGGAGGCAATTTTCTTCCTATTGCCCAACAGTTGGCCCTTGATCCTATGTATTGGGCAGCCACCACAGCCTCAGCCCAAGAGTCTCTGGCCTCTGTCCCTGATGACAAGACTGAGCGCAATGGCCGGTGGGGGAGCATCAGACAGGGTCCTGCAAAGCCCTATGGACAATTTGTTGATCGCTTGTATAATACCTTCAAGCGGCAAGTTCAGGACCTGGCAGCACAAGAACTGATTGTACGCCAGCTTGCGTTTGATCATGCACATGAGGACTGTAAGCAAGTGCTGCGCCCTTTGATGACAACATCAAATATAGCCATTGCAAACATGCTTAAAGCCTGCCAGTCAGTGGGCACTGAGACGCATAAAGCTCGCCTGCTAGCCACGGCTTTGTCCTCCACCGTGTCCCAAAATCCTGCAAAGGATAAAACCTGTTGGATTGACAGTGGCTAAAGAAAAATCCAGCGGACCTCACCTATTGCGTGCCTGGGACACAAGCTGACAGCATCTGCAGCCATTCCAGTCACGCCTCAACTACAGTTTCCTGGTCATCTTACACTGGTGGATTTACAACAAATTCTTGGACAGCTGAATTGGATAAAGAGTTATTTGGACCTGCCCACTTCCACTTTGTCTCCACTATTTTCTGCCCTTAAAGGACATAAGGATCCAGCAGACAAGATCACAGTCACCTCTGCAATGGAAGAGGCTCTAACCACTGTGTACAACCATCTCCAACAGCTATGTATGGTGGACAGGATTCCTTCTCTTTCCATGGCACAATTATCACTTGCAGTTTTTGCCACCCCGCTCCTTCCAACAGCTATATTGTACACCACAGGCCAGAAGCCTGGGACTGTGTCTATTGTGGAGTGGCTTCACCTGCCTCATACTCCTCCGTGGAACGTGTATGCTACACCCAACAGCGTCATGGACCTTGTTGCTAAGGGCCGACATCGAGCCCTTGCTCTCTCTGGAATGGACTTACAGTCAGTGTACCTGCCCTTCTCCCAGGAGGAACTTATGCATTTGATGATGACAGCTGTTTCTACTCAAATAGCTTTTGCTGATTTCTTGGGAAATATCATTCACAATCCTCCTAGAGACCCTCGTTTGTCTTTCCTTACAGGGCTACGTTATGTCTTGCGAACTGCTTTGTCCCCCTTGCCCTTACCCTCCGCCCTTACTGTGTTCACTGATGGTACCAAATCCAGAGGGGTGGTGGTGTGGGAAAAGGAGGGGGAATGGAAAAGTTTGTATAATACTGAGCAGTCCTCAGCACAACGTGCTGAATTGGCAGCTGTAATTTTGGCATTTCAACAGTTTGAAAATATCCCTTTCAATCTCATTGTGGATTCTCAGTATGTATATAATCTTTTTTTCATTGTTTTCAGACCCATTTTAAAGTCATTCTGTATTTCATCAAAATGCTGAAGTTCTGGTGAAATCTTTTTCGTTGCCCATTTCTCAAGCTCGAGACATTGGGCTTCTTCTGGATTGTGGGTTTTACATGCCAATAATTGAGCCACGAAATATCACACAGGTTGCTCGGAAGTGGCCATTGGAATAATTTACCATTCTCATCCTTATTGGCATCACTTGGATTTTACCCCCCAGATATTTTTTTTTCCTCCTCCCTCAGGAGTCCTGCCCTATGATGTGTTCCCCTGAGCATGTACAGAGGGCTGTCTTGGAACTATTGTGGACTCTTGGCAGGGGAGGGGGTGAGGGGAATTTCGGTGTGTTCCAGTTGTTTCATTCTTGTGCTTTGGCATGGTTCCCGGACAGAAAGCAAGTTGCAATGTGGTTCTTTAGCAAGGCCCACGAAGGCAATGGGCTCTGTTCTCGACCTTGTTGCAATCTTTTTAGTTACAGCAAGCGGAATATGCTTGAAGCGAAATATGCTTGGCTAGTGCCTTTAGCTGCTGAGAAAAATGATTTTAAAAAGCTTCTCGAAGCTTTCAGCCTTTTTTGGTGGTGGTATTCTAGCATTCCAGTAAATGCTTCATATAAGATTAGCAATAATATGAAAGATAATCGTATAAGTTTATCGCCTGTGTTTTGTTGCTTGCAGAAATAGTGTCTTATTGTTTTCGTTTCAATCATAATAGCAAAAACTTTTTAGGTCATTATCTATATTGTAATTGGACCTATGAGTATTTTAATGGATCTTCTTGTTTTTTTTAATGTTACCACTATGAGTGATAGGCCGAAAGTCTCAGTTAATAATGTCACAACCTACATGACTTATGACCAACAGGCTGCGTGTAGAGATTTTTATGTTTGGTTCAACTGGATGAGAAAGAGCAGTAAATCTGCATATTTGCTTCAATCTGATTTATGGTTATTCTGTGGCAAATTCGACCGAAGCCTTGTTTAATTCTGCTATCTTGGCTTTAAAAAATTTTAACACAGAAATGTCAGAAATAAGAGAAGTTGTTTTATAAACTTTTTATGCTTTAAATGTAATCCTTGCCTCTAAAGGTGGAATTTATGCCTTAATTCATTCTCATTGCTGTATGTATATAACTGATCAATCAACCAATATTTCCGCTATTATTGATTATATGGAACAAATGATAGCCCATAATCCTTTGAATCCACCTGAAGGTTTTGATCCATGGGATTGGTTATTTTTTTGGTTACTTAATGGATTATGGTTAAGAAATTTATTATTGATTGTAAGTGCATGTATTGTATTCAATGCTTGCTTTTTCTTTGATTTCCCAATGCACTGCATGGTGGTACCGACCACGGCCCACCACAGGGGTTACAAGAGGAATTTATGTTGCAAAGTATAGACGCTTAGGCAATGAAGTGTACGATTCGGACTAATGGTCCCTCTTTTCCTCTAATAATATAAACAAGAAAAGAGGGCATGTGGGAAAATGATTGCTTGTACATGAGAGCATGAGCAAAGTTCTTATTATTGCAGGGTGATTTCATAGCTAGAAGCATCCTTGGAGCATGAACAGCGCGTGAACAGCTCGTGCTGTCCCAAATGATTGGTTAACGTAGCATGGCCTGATCACTCGCATGGTCTAGTGCGATGGCCCTTATCTGCTGGCTGAGAACAAATTGCTTTGCTTGTATTTTGTATCTTTCTGACTTCACACAATAAAGGCTGTGCTGCAGTAGCTCTAAAGGAGCCAGAGCAGCCATATTTCTTCAACCCATCATGGTGTGAGACTGATTTCTTCGGATGTCGAGCTGGCACTCGACACATTATATTATTCTTGAAAGCTGTACCCTTACTTTCTTTTTTTGTGGACAAGAACTCAAAGTTGTCAGGAGCTGCATAAATAACAATAAAATATTTTTTTTAAAGTATTGACTTTATTTAAGACCGTTGTAAATGTACTCTGTGTGTTTTTAGAGAGGTATGAGGATAGTTGTGATGAAAAAAACTGAATAATGATGGAAATAAGTACAATGGAAACTCACCCAATCTAATTCCTTATCACAGACCATAAAACCATAACAAAAAAACACAATAAGAGCCTGTTGGATCAAGCCAATGGCCCATCTAGTCTAGCATATGCCATTTGAAATATGATTCGGGGGGGGGGGGAATGCTCTGCAAAATTCAAAGACATGTGAATTTTGACAGATAGGTGTGCTTTGGTTCACATATTGTTTCAGAAAGTCTGAATTAGGTAGTTTAAAATGCAAACAAAATCAAATTCCTCCTCTATCCCTACTCTCGGGTAAATGTGCGTGGGATTATAGCTCAAATGCTGTGTTTATACCTTTCTTTTGCGAACATTCACATTTATCAGGCAATTAAAGATGTTTTCCTTTTGCCATTCACCTTGTGCAGGAGAAGAAGGTATGTGATGCCAAGGGAATACAAGACTAGTGTTTGCAGAAGTTCTTAAGTCTTGATCTCTTTCTCTCTAAAAATAGCAGCTAGTTACTAACATGTCTAACCAGAAGTAAATTTGATTGAATTTAAAAGTAAGTGATAGTATAGCAAGCCTAGCTTTATATCTTCTACAAAAGTAGAATGTATGAATGAGTTTCCTTCTTTAAAAAATGCCAATTAATTTTTATTGATTTTCAAAAAATTTAATAAATTAACAACAAATTAATTCAAATTTAAAACAAATTTAAAAGTTGGTTTCCCATCCCCCTTCCAGATGTTTCTTTTCTCTCCTTCCTTTGCTGCTCACAATAACATACCTTTTCCTAATTTCTATTCGTTTCCCATCTTTCTGAATTTTCACCAGCTGTGCATGTTTCAATTCCAGCTTAGACTTTTGCTTAACTACAGCATGTCCCCAGTTATTCAAATTATTCTTCCTTTATCTATCCATATAAATTGTGAACGAGCTTTTCCTTTGAGTTTTGTAAAACTGAGCCGACTGTGAAATGTGGAACAAGCAAGCAGCCTCCTGTTCATGTCTGCAAACTGCTTGCTCACCTACCTCTTGCTCTGCTACTCCAGAAGGGATGACCACTCGAACTATAACAGAGATGAGGAGGAGGAGGAGGAGGAGGAGGAGGAGCTGTCACTGCCTGCTTGCTCATTGGCAATACACACACACACACACACACACACACACACACCTTAAAGAAAACATTGAAGGTACTTGCAGATATTGAAAGCAATTTTAGGATGCAATAAGAAGAATAAGAATAAGAATTTATTATTTGTACCCCGCCCATCTGGCTGGGTTTCCCCAGCCGCTCCCCAGCTTCCAACAAAGATTAAAATGTCACACATTAAAAACTTCTCTGAACAGGGCTGCCTACAGATGTCTCCTAAATGTCAGGTAGTTGTTTGTCTCTTTGACATCTGATGGGAGGGTGTAGTATAGGGCGGGTGCCACTGCTGAGAAAGGCCCTCTGCCTGGTTCCCTGTAGCCTCACTTCTTGCAGTGAGGGAACCGCCAGAAGGCCCTCAGTGCAGGACCTCTGTGTCCGGGCAGAACGATGGGGGTGGAGACGCTCCTTCAGGTATACTGGACCGAGGCCCTTTAGGGCTTTAAAGGTCAGCACCAACACTTTGAATTGTGCTCGGAAACGTACTGGGAGCCAATGTACACAAAGACTGCATGATCCTTTTTGTAATGAAACCAAATTCTTTTCCTTTTAAATAATTTGGAACCTTTTCTTCTTCTTTACCTTTACTGCCAGTGCATGGAAACTTGTTTACTAAACCAGCCTCACGTCCCAGAAGACAGAGGGTCTAAGAGGCAACTCTGAATACAGCTCTTTTTATTAAACTGTTCCTCATTCTCAGTGGCTGCTGTTTGACCCAGGAACATTACAAACTTATGCGAAATGGTGTTTCGGCTCTAGAAATTACTTATGAGGGGCACGCTTCAGAAAGAGTTTCCTTAGGGCTGCTAGAACATCCCTGTTGCGCAGGCTGTATATAAAAGGATTCAGCATTGGGGGGATGATGGTAGTGCACACTGAGTAGATCATGGCCCTTTGTGCAGAATAGAAGGATACTGGGACGGTGTATGTCAGTGCAGCTGCCCCATAGAAGAGCCCCACCACACACAGGTGAGACACGCAAGTCCCTAAGGCCTTGTGTCTTCCTTTGACTGAGCGCATGCCCAGCACTTGCACAAGGATGGTGATGTAAGAGGCAACGATGACTGAGATAGGGAGGAGAAGTATGACCACATCATCAAAATACACCAGTTTTTCAAAGGCAGAGGTGTCGGCACAGGACAACTTCAGTAAAGCTGGGAAATCACAAACATAATGCTCAATCACATTTGACCCACAGTAAGGCAGAGACTGGACAAAGATCGCAATGGGCATGATGGAAAGCGATGACAAAGACCAGATCCCAGCCGTCATGGTGAGGCAGGTTGTTCTCCGCATGAGGATGGGGTACTGCAAGGGCCTGCAGATGGCCACGTACCTGTCGTAAGACATGGCGGCCAGGACCAGGCATTCTGCACCTCCCCCAGTCAACGTGAGGAAAATCTGTGCCACACAACCGCCGAGCGAGATGGTGTTTCTGTGGGCTAAAAAGTTCGCAGACATTTTAGGGACAATAACGAGGATTTGGCCCACATCTATGCAGGCCAATTGGCTGAGGAAAAAATACATTGGGGCGTGAAGGGAGGAGTCTCTTTGGATTAGGATCAGGAGGAGACCATTTCCCAGCAAAGCAACAAAAACCATGAGAAGAATTGCACCAAAGAAGATGTTGGGTGTCCTCAGATGTACAAGGCCCACAAGAAGAAACTCTGTCCATGATGTGGCATTCTCATTTCCCATGATCCCTTTGACCTGAAGACAAAAGGGCAACATTTGTGGAGAAGGAAATAGCTGCATCCAACAAACAAAACAGAAAACCTTCAAGCTTTGGCCAATGCTTTAGCTACATGGCTATTAAAAGAAAAGCTCGAGGAAGTCCATACAATGTTAATTTGACTATTAATGTTCTGTAACAACAACAAAAAACATTGGTGCTGTTGGAATTCCACAGGTACCAAGACAGGAGATGTGATTCAGGCAGTGTCTATTGACCCAGAGTCCTCCTATGGGTGCAGCTCTGAGGCATATGGCCAAGAAGCTCTGGAGATGATGTACAAATGGTACACAACACCAGTGCAGTTAGGAAAAATGTACAAAACTAGTTCAAATATATGTTGGAAGTGTAAGGAAAAGGAAGGGACATTTTATCATATGTGGTGGGATTGTAAGGTAATTTAAAAAAATTGGGAAATGATATACAACGAGTTGAAGAAAATGTTCCATTTAACATTTGTTTAAAAAACCGAGGCATTTTTGTTGGAGATTGTAGGGAAAGACCTGCCAAAAAAGTTGAAAAACATCTTCATGTATGTGACAATGGCCCTGAGAGTTCTGGTAGCACAAGGATGGAAGACTGACGAAACCCCAACTAAAGAATCATGGCAAGAAAAAATGATGGACTATGCAGAACTGGCAAAACTGACATATAAGCTACAGGACAAGGATAACTGTGACTTTAAGGATGAATGGGAACCCTTTACAAAGTATCTGAGGACGCAACAAAGCGAACTGGACTCCTTGGCAGGTTTTGAATAAACATTCACAAACTTTTTATTGATAATATGTCTTGTTGTAATTTTGAATTTAAAAAAATTTAAAAAAGAAGAAGAAGCTCTGGTTTTTTTCAGATTTGGCTTTTAAGCTACGTCACCTTAATCTACTCTGTTCAGTTAAGGAAAACTATATCATTGCATTGAATGTGAGGCATCGCTTTCATCTGGACTCAAAGCCAGTGGCAGGATTAGTAGAGTGGAAAGTAGGGAGACGGAGGGTAGCAGAACCAGAGTCAATGATAGGCAGAGCCAACTCGTTCTCATTTTGTCCCCATCTCCCTCCTCTCTGGTGAATTTCACAAGGACAACACAGAACCTAAAGAGCAGGATGTTGCCACTGGCCTGGAAGAAGTAGCAAAACTGGCAGGTTGGGTCTGACTGAGGGCTGACTGAGGTTGGCAGAGCAGCCCTCATGAACCAGCCTCCACACAACATATGCATGAAGCTATTGTGCGTACAAGTTCTGTGTGGTACCTTTTAGGCTCCACTCCCATCTGGGGACCATCCCCAAGGAATTTAGTGGGGCTTACTTCTGAGTAATGTGTGGCTATTGTGACATTACCTGTCACACGACAAACTGTGGCAGGAGGGACTGCTTCTAAGCCAAGGTTAGACACTTTTCGGTTTAGTTGGGCACTAAGTGCTTATACAACAGCAGTGTTTTTGTGACTATGCCTTTGACCACACCCATGTGACCTCCTCGGTTCCACCTTCTTAACTTCCAGTAACAATAGGTCCCTGGGAGACATTCAAAATGTAGTTTTTAAATAAATAAAATATTAAAATTTTCCTACATGGTGGGAGGAAATGATGTCTTCATTTAGGAAAAGCATCCTAAATATGCTTTAAGTAACTGTGAGTGTCTTCAGTGTTTCCTTTAAAGTGTGTATTTTGTGTGTCTTGAATTCTGCTTGTACTGCTCTCTTTCTCTAGCTCTAGCTACTTCTTCAGTCCTCATGGTCCCCTTCCAACTCTACAGTTCTGTGGTTCTATTCATACCCTATGATTCAAGGGGAAAGTATACATGAAATCTCACAATCCCATTAAGAGTGCCCTTCATTACAGTTCTTTCATGGGCCAGCCATCCCACCTCCTCCCAAACCCATGCAAAAGCACTTTCCTTGGCACAATCCAGAAAGCTAATCCATGCTCACCCAAGGATGTGAAGAAATACATCTCTGCAGATCAACCAACACAACCACTCTGCATGTGGACCGGCTGTTGTAGCTTATTGAGCAGGTGTAATTTAGTCAAAGGTCTCCAGTTCTGCTGTGGCACATTTTTAGTGTGGCAAGATGTCAGGAAGCATGTCTGCAAGGACCTTTCCAAAGTTGGAAAGCAAAATAGCCTGGGCTGTACTTGACTAGTGTTGACTTTTTCTGCCTTAAGCTGAACTGCCCAGTGCACCTGGTGACTGAACTATCCTCCCTTATTTGCCATGAGCACAAGTTTTCTCCACATATGATGTGGGATTTCACAGGTTGTGCACATGGTGGGTGGTTCAGATGAACTGCTCACTGTGTGCAACATGCTACATGGGGTGGGATGAGAAGTGGGATCCCAACATGTGGCAAGTAGCAGTAATAGGACCATTTTCTGGCTGGGAGGTAGATTCCTACTTCAGCCACCCCAGCCCCTCTTTACTGCACCTGCTGTTGTGCCTGGGACTAGAAAACTGCTACCTGTTGAGGTGCCAGAAGGCGAACCCAGCCAGCCTCACCCTGGAAACCAGTTGTTTCTGGACACCCTTGTGTTTGTGGTGGGAGCACATATTCAAGTCATGAATGTGTAATGTGTTGTTTGTGGTGCGCCTTTGCTGTTGCTGTTTTGTATTCTTATAACTGCGAGGTTTAAAGACTGTCTCAAGGCAAATCTAAAAAAAATTAGTATAAACACCGACAACTGGGAAACACTGGCCTGCAAGTGCTCCAATTGGATAGCAGCCTTTACCAAAGGTGTCATGGGCTTTGAAGACACTCAAACTCAGGACGCAAGGGAGAAATGTGCTAAGAGGAAGGCACGCTTGGCAAACCCTCACCATGATCAACTCCCGCCCGGAAACCAATGTCCCCACTGTGGAAGGACGTGTGGATCCAGAACTGGCCTCCACAGACACTTGCGGACTCATTGTTAAAACTGTGTTTATGGAAGACGATCTTACTCGGCTACGAGTGATCGCCAAAGAAGAAGGTTCTTATTGATTGATCGTATTGCACTTTGGTTTAGCATTTCCCCCCATTTTGTATTCGTCGGTTCACTGCCTTGGGGAGGCTTGGCCAAAGAGTGGTATAGATATAAACTGATGGTGTTATTCATGATGACGACGCGGCATGTTGGCTGCACTAGGGTATCTGCATCTCTGAAATATGAAGTACCCATCTAGTCCATTTCTTACGAATTGAATAATGGCTGTGGGTTTTTCCAGTCTGTGACTAGATCTCATGCTTCAAGGCTGAATCTTGCTGAGCATCACTGATTTTGGATCTAGTTGCTATTAGGCATGGTGCTGATTCTACTTTATTTCTCATTCACTGCCACCCCAGGACCTAGGCAGCCATTTTTTTTCTAGTGTTGGGAAATGCTTATAAAATCTGTACTATCAAGAGCCATCGCTCAATAAAAGCCTCACCAAAGCAAAAACAAAACCACTTACCTTCATGTGCACATTTCTGGATATATAGAAGAGACAGGAGCTCACCCCATCACGCAGATTTGAACTGCCGACCTTCTGATCGGCAAGCACAAGAGGCTCAGTGGTTTAAACCACAGCACCATCACTTTATCCCAGCTTCTGCCAACCTAGCAGTTCAAAAGCACACCAGTGTAAGTAGATAAATAGGTACCACTGTGGCAGGAAGGTAAACAGCATTTCCGTGCTCTCTGGCACTCGTCATGGTGTTCTGTTGCACCAGAAGCAGTTTAGTCATGCTGGCCACATGATCTGGAAAGCTGTCTGCGGACAAACACCGGCTCACTCAGCCTGAAAGCGAGATGAGTGCCTCACCCCACAGTCACCTTTGACTGGGGTCCTTTACCTTTTTACCTTTTACCTTACCATGTAGAAAAGACTTTGGAGGACATTTTGGATGGAGGAGGCAACAACAGCTCTAAATAAAATCCATGAAAAAGCTATACTAATTAATAGAAATACCTTGTAACATCAGGTATCCTGGTTTACTGAAATGAGGATGCTCTTCAAAATAGCAGCATCTCAGTCCTGGAAGCCCTAAGTTGTGTCATCTTAGTTTGTTTTGTTTTGTTTTCACCCATGATGATTTCAGCCTCTGTCTCAGGGGCTAGGGCTGGAGAGTTCTTCAGAACGCACCAGTTTTAGTTCTCCTGGCAGCATGGTGAAAATCACCTGAGGAAGAACTAAAGAGCAATATTTGCATTCCTCAGGCACTTCAAAGTTTAAAATATCTAGTAAAGTATTCTTGGTGACTTTTGACCTTTGGGAAATTGGTCCCAAGTCCTTAATTAAGAAGTTGTTGATGGAAACATTGCTCTAAGGAATTCTGTAAGCTATGTGATTGCAGCTCTACCCATTGGTGTTTATGTAGAATCCTCTACATTTACCTTTTCGTTTCCAGATCATGAACCTGAAGTGGTATTTGTGCATTTGCTGTGTTACCCAGGGGTACCCTCCATTTTCAGCCATCCTCAAACTGGCCTGTCCTTTTGAACCTATTGATTTGGTTGCCTCACCTCAAGAAGGATATTCTAGAGTTGGGAAAGTTTCAGAAAGGGCAACCGAAGTGATCAAGGGGCTGAAACAACTCCCTGGTGAGGAAAAGTTGCAGAATTTGAGACTTTTTAGTTTAGAGAAAAGGCAAGTAAGAGATGACATGGTGGAAATTTATAAAATTATTAGGCATGACGTTAAAGATATACACATATTTTTTACATATGTCCTGATTCCACACAAAAGATTCCATTCCTCTAAAGTGTGTATGTTGGGCTATCCAGGTTTGTTGGACTTCATCACCCATCATCCTGACCCAGCTGGCTGAAGCTGATGGGAGCTGGAATCTAACAACATCTGGAAGGCTACAAGTTCCCCACATCTCATTTGGAAAATAGTTAATGTTCTTACCAGTCCACTCATATTCCAGAAACCATGCAAATTGCCAAAGGAATTTTTTGGGGGGAGGGGGGATTATAGGGACAAAACTACCCAAACTGTATAGAAATTTATTCATGTATACAACTATAGTGGCAAGAATGTTATTTGCCCAAAATTGGAAAGAAGAAGAAGTACCAGTGAAAGAAGAATGGATACAAAAACTTATGGAATACGCAGAAATGGTGAAATTTACCAGAAAAATAAGAAATCAAAATAACAAACTTTTTATAAAAGAATGGAAATGGTTTATTGAATATTTTCAAACGAACTGTAAACAGATAAGAACATTGACAGGACTATTGTAATAACCTGCAGTTTTATACGTTTAAAGTAGATGAGTAAATGATTGTTAATTTGGAATATGCAGAAAATAAAAAAAATAAATTTAAGGAACCGCAGAAAGAGAGGGAAGGAAGTCAAGTTTTCGAAGTGTTTAAATGATTGTAAAATTATTGAAATGTATAAAACTGAAAATCATAAATAATTTTTTTATTTAAAAAAAAACAAATATGCAAATTGTATTTTGAGGCTCTTGTCTTAACTTGTCTGCAGGAAAGCTGGTGTATATTCCCACTTATTGTGCCCGATTAAATTTAGTCTTCCTTTATCTTAGATAAATCTAAGAACAAGATCTTTACATGGCCCTTAGTGTCCAGTTCATAGAACATAACACAATACCCATAGTTAAGATTACCCCTGCTCCACAACTCTTCAAGGTTGGCTGTTGCTTCTGGAAACTGCCTTTCTGCTCTTCTGCTTGGGTCCTCCTCGTGAGATTTCCATAGATATGAGGTTGGCCACTGTGAGAACATGACATTAGGCTATATAAGCCATTGGCCTGATGCAACAGGCTCTTCTTGTGGTCTTTGCTGTGGTTTTATGCTCTCTATTTACTGCTGAATCAGAGCAAGCATCCATTGGGCTTTGCGTGCTGAGGTCCCCAGAACACCCCTTCCCCAATAACTCACACCAGAGACTTAATTTTTGTTTAAGGTTTTTGGCATAATTTTGGCCACAACTTTATTATCATACAAGATTGTGAGTGGTTGCTTAGGCATTGGTTATGACTAGCTGTCCCCCCCGCCTTGGGGGACAGCGCTGACTCCCGTGAGTCAGCATGTGGAGGAACAAGACCAGGGACAGCTGGGGCTGCGACACAGACCCTCAGCTATTCCCTGCTTGTTCCTTGGGAACTTACATGGCCCGCACCCTGCTCCAAGGGTTTGGACGAAGGGATGGTAAGCCCCAGAATTCCTTTAACGGAATTCCCAGCAGCAGCAGCATTGGAGGGGTAGGCACAGCCAATCCACACCCCTCCACCAACCAATTTAACCAATGCCTAACCGCCAACCTTACAAGTTGTGACGATTTGCTACGCAGTAGGCAAAACCCAATTGGCACGCACTAATCAGCCAAAAGGAAAAATTCCTACTGGGCCCCCGCACCAATGCGAACGACCCCATGACAGGCAATAGCAAGGTCAGAGCGAAGCCCAAACAAGGGAGGGCGGGCGGGTGATCCGGTGTCCACAGCGAAAGAGAAAGGAAAAGAGCTGTGGACCTTACTTAAATAACCTCAGGTCCCACCCCTAAATTGGCAACATCTAATTTGCCCTAGCAACTCCCACCTCCAATCTGATTCGAAGCCTTGAATCTATCCAGCCTGGCAACTATGGGGTGTTCTGCAAGCCCCATCCGCAACCCATGCTCTCTTTCATTGAGAACATGCTTTATCCGCATTGACTTTTGCTCTGATGTAGCACTAAAGGGTGAGTTTCTGGAGGGAAATACCAGGGCAAAGGAGAAACCGCTTCAACCCATGCCTGGAAAGGATGATGTTTCCATGGGTGACATTTGCCCATTCTTTTGGAAATGTCTGTACAGGGGGAGAGAAAGAGTCAATAGGTAGACTAATAGAAAAGCCAGAGGCGGAGCCTACCTGTTTTTAAAAGGGCTTAGCCAGAGGTTTAGACAGTTGGGAAGGAGCGGTTGGGAAAGCAGTTGGCAGACAGTTGGAAATAGAGAGACAGTTAATACAATTGGTTCTTGTGTGAGGGGAGGTAGAAGAGTTAGAGACAGGATAAAATAAGACTAGGAGGGTAAAAGGGTAACAGTGTTTCGAATGCAATTAAAGTTTATTTTGTGTTTGAAATAAACTACAATCTTTGTTGTTGACTTGAGAACTGATTGAGACTAAGTGATTTACCGGGGAGGACCTGGTTGGTGGCAGCGGATTAGTGGTGTACGGGTCAATAGTCCGTGAGCCGACCGGGGGCTCCGTACGAACGCCACACCATGAAATATGGTCTCAGCTTCCTAAACACTTTTCAGACAGTGTGTGAAAAGTTCCACTGTAGATAGGACAATGACACAATATAGAACTTATCTGGAGTACTGCCATTAAAACTTGAAAGGGTAATGATAACACTACGACTTTCTTTCTAGATAGCTGGGGTGTGGGGTTGCACTAGGAACAATCATCATGGAAATATATACCCATAAATGCTAATAAAGTTTTAGTCCCTGTATTTAGAGCAGGTCATCTACGATGATGATTGCTGTATTTTTAATTGTGTTTACTGATAGAAAACATAGGTGCATAGCTAATTATTCTTATTGTTTTGCAATTTCCAATGTAGCCTTTGCCCTCGGGTGGGAAAAAGTATTGCACCAGGGAGAGGGAAATGGGAGTCAACAGACACTCAAGGAATAGTTTCGGAGAAAAAGCTTTATTTCTACCATCCATGAACTGGTAGAAGGAGCAAGTGTGATAACTCACAAACAAGCACGGGTTCACAGTCATTTGCACAGACCTTATATTCCCCTTCCAGTTCCCTCCCCTTTCTCCTCCTCTTCAGGAGTCCTGCCCCATGTTGGGTTTCCTGAGCATGAACAGAAAGCTCTTGTCTTGGGACTCTTTTTGGACTCTTGGCACCCTTCCCAGGAAAGGAAGATGAGAAGCCTTGCGTTCAGCATGTTCAAGATGTTACAACCGAATGAGATAAGATTCAGTTCCCAGGCCTGCTTATGCTTGGCACTGACAAGAGTCTATTCATTAGCCTTTTTGAAGCTCTCTTGTACTGCTAAAAGTAACATTTTGCCTATGCACAGCATCTTGTGAGAAAAGCAGAGGAAAGCTTTAGCTGTGGATTTTTAGAAGAGAGAAATGGAATTTTGGACAGTTTTGAGGCCTGGGGTGATTATTGATGCCTGGGGTGATTTCACAGATAGGATTTGGGTATCCTGTCCCTTCACCAAAACTCCAAATATCAACATGATCCAGAAGGGCTCTTCCAATATTTTTACAGAAGTATCTTCAGTTTTCTGAACAGTTTCCCTAATGCTGCTAGTACATCCCGATTTCTCAGGCTGTATTTAAAAGGATTCACAGTCGAGGTGACAATTGTGCACAATGCAGCAAAAATCTGGTTCCTCTCTGCTGAGTAGGAGGAGGCTGGCCTTAGGTGCCGCAAGATGGCCGACCCATAGAAGATGGCTACCACACACAAGTGTGACGAACAGGTGCCCAGTGCTTTGTGGCTTCTTTCCGCTGCATGCTTAGCCCTCAGAATCTGCAGAAGGATGGATATGTAGGAGGCCACAATGATGGAGAAGGGGAACAGAAGCAATAAATGGCTACCAATTAATAACGACA